CTCTCTCTCTCTCTCTCTCTCTCTCTCTCTCTCTCTCTCTCTCTCTCTTGCGCTCCATCTCTCCGCGCGCACGAAGGAAACGTTCCTCTCCCTCTCTCTCTCTCTCTCTCCCTCTGTCCGATCCGTCCGTCCGTCCGACTCGCCGCGATTAGGTCGTGGTCGTGGGTCGTGGGCGGAAATCAGTATAACTAGTCGCGTCGCGACCGCGCAATGGTACGCACGTTTTCCGTCCGTTGCGCGCGTTCGGTGTATCGCGAGGAGAAGCTCCGGTGCTCCGCTTTACGCTCGCGACGTCACATTCGCCGCAGCGAGGAATGACATCGTGACGCTGGCGCGCGTGTCCTTCCGTTCCCTCAAAACTTTCTTTTCTCATCTCTCTTTACTTTTTCCTCCTCTCCTCCACCCTGCAGCTCTCCGTTCGCAAAATCGACATAGTTGGTGATTCGCGGGAGATTGTCACTCGGGGCTGCAGCGACGCGTCCTTCTCCTCTTCCTTCTCCTCCTCCTTTTTGCCGGCTACGTCGCCTCGGATTACATCATGACGGACATCACGACACCACCGAAGGCAGCGTGAGTATGTTTACCGTGCTGGATAGCGTGCGGCGATCGAGTGTCGATCTAATTCGATCGGTGCGACAAATCGCGGTGCACTCTCGCCTCGGCGATACGCGCGCCGTCTCTCGCGAGGGAAAATGTGTCATATCCCATACACAAGTATCTCCGAAAATCTGAAACCTTGTCCTTGCATCCCACGTGCAGAAACAAGATACCTGTGTATGACAAAAAACCAGAAGAAATCCTTATTTCTATCGTACTCTTAAAGATTCTAACATTAAGATACTAGTTTTGTAGTTTATTGAAACAGAAAATTGCATAATTTTCTATTCGTTGCTTTTTTCTTCGTTTCTTGTAACGATATTGTTTCGACGTCGCTACTTTTTTCAAATATATAACGCCTCTAATGATTTTCTATTCGTATCGTACAGTTCGCCGAGAAAGCATTTGGAAAGTAACACGGTCGCTCTACAAACTACGTGAAGCCCGTATCAGACTACGGATTGAGATTGGGATTAGATTGAAATTTGACCAATCACAGTAAAGTTTACTAATCTCAAGTTTAGTAACCTTTACTTGAGCTTGAGACACTTTCTGGCGCGAGATCGCGTTCCCCAGGACAGTATAGGAATCCAAATCGTTTTTCCAAAATTCCCATTAATCATCGAAAGATCGTTTGAGTGTTTAATTATCGAAACAGATGTATAACGAACGTTGCATTTCCCTTTTTAACGAACACCGTGAATATTTTCTAATATTCTCGATAGTGCGCTAACAATATAAGTATATAATCATCAAGTGTTGTATCTTTACACGAGCCGAGGCTTTAATTGATGCTGAACCGATCAAGTTGATAGTATAAATACAATATATCAAACGGATTAGGATATGTGTGAATTATTTAATTTGTAAAAATAACAATGGCGAATAAGACGCGCATGTCGCGATGCCGCACGCGGGACACGAAGGCGCGCGGCGTGGTTGAAAACAGGTGCGACGACGTGCTAAACTTGCGGATTCGATGTAAACAACCGCTTGGTTTTCCGAAATCCGTTTACCCCTCCTCCGTCCCCGCCGCCGGCGTCGAGAGCTATTATCATCGCGTATCCGTTTCGCGTTTCCGATCGGTCCCGGCGCGTTTGCATTCACGTTCGTGGCGCTGCGCCGGTATATAAAACACGTGGCTAGCGGGATCCTCGCGCTAAAGTGGAGCTATTTTTTTCGATGTTTATTGAAGATCTCGCTTGGAAATAAACCGTATGCGCGCCGGTCCGGCCGGTACCGATCGAGAACTGAGAGACGACCGCCGCTTCGTCCTTGCCACTCGCCGTCTTGCACGATCTCGTACTCGGCCCATTCTCAACTTAAGGGGATGCTGGAGTGATTCTGTACTTTTGCACTTTTTGCACTTAAAACTGTCTATTTCGTGGAAACATTCGTGTAATATACAAATTAAATTAAATGGCTTACATGTACAGATTGAAAGTAGCTTGCTATTCCGGCTAAATTAAAGAACAATATGGCATCACTGAAACTAAGTTTGTAAGTCTAATAAGAAATAATAGTGAGTAATACACACATACAGTACATGTAGTATGTGTGTTGCTCAATATTATTTTTTTATTAGACTTACAAACTTAGTTTCAGTGATGCCATATTGTTCTTTCATTTAGCCGGAACAGCAAACTGCTTTCGATCTATACACGTAAGCCATTTAATTTGTATATTACACAAATGTTTCCGTGAACTGACAGTTTCTAGAAAGGTGCAAAAGTGCAGAATCACTTCAGCATTCCCTTAAGCTCGTATCAGACTACGGACTAAAGCCAACGGTACACGATACTATTTTTTCTACTGGATCGCTTACGAGAGCTAATCAGGATTTAGCTTTAAGTCATTTGATCTAAAATTTTGAATTCTTATTGGTTCTCGTAAGCAATCCACTAGGAAAAATAGTACCGTGTACCGTTGGCTTAAGATTGAGATTAGATTGAAATTTGACCAATTAGAGTAAAAGTTGCTAAACTTGAGATTACTAAACATTACTGTGATTGGTCAAATTTTAGTCTAATCACAATCTCAATCCGTAGTCTGATACGGGCTTTATGGACACTACGATTGTGAACACGCCAACGTGGTTGCCTGGAAAATGGTTTGTCGCGCCACGCGCAATCCAGAGTGTTAGTTACTCTTTTCCCACGCTCTCATAAATAATACTCCCACTTGTTCGAACGAGAGGATAATCCACCTTGATTCACATAATCGATTCACGTTGGAATCTCGGGACGCTTGTTCATCCCTATACAGTAGGAACTTACGCGGCCGGAAGAAAGATTGGACTATATTTTATACATTCTTGTGATAACAATACGTGTTTTGAAAAACATAATAACGATCCTGCGTACTCTGGGAAAAAAAGACAGTTAAGCAACCCATTTTGAGGCCCACAATTAGTAATCGAATTATTTGGATTGCTCGTAATTCTACTCTGGGAAAACTTTTGACCGTTTTTTTTGTAGTTAAGCAACTTAACATTTCGGTTAGTGCCTTTTAAGTGAAAATTATCTTTGCGTTACTGAATCGATAGAATTAATTGAGAGAATTTATTAATATTACTTAAAAATTTTGGATATAGATAGAACAGCTAATTGCTATTTTTAGTTACGCAGGGTAAGATTCGTAAAAGATTAGAGTTACGAACAATCCAAGTAATTCGATTATTAATTCGGAACCCCAAAATGGGTTGCTTACCTGCTCTTTTTTTCCTAGAGTAAATGTACTACGTTTCTGTATCCGTTCGCACTTATTCACTTGTTAGTCTGCTAACTATTTCTCCCCTCGAATTACTCGTAATTTAAAACGTTACCGACAATCTCAATATTTACAAAAATATTTTTATCCTGCAGAATTTGCGTTATAATTTGCAGACGTAAATTCTATATAAATAAACGAGCGCCACGGTGGAGGATACCAGTACATTTACTCGAAATCGGTGATTCGTGTGGAAATAAATCGAATACGGCAAACGAGAGAGAGAGAGAGAGAGAGAGGGGGGGGGGAGAGAGAGGGAGAGAGCGAGAGAGCGAGAGAGCGAGAGAGCGAGAGAGCGAGAGAGCGAGAGAGCGAGATTGACAAAGTCACCGTCGTGACTGACGTGAGCTCGTCAACGTCCGGGGGGTGGCGTTTCTAATTTTCACCTCGTCCATGTAGAGTATCCTCCGATTGAAGCGGAACGTTCATACGGAGGTTTATCTACGATCTTCGGTAGCGAGAAGGCACGATTCGACGATGCTTTCGAGGAACTCATTGACGTGACCGCCGTGACACGAGGACGTGGCTCGCACAACGCGGGAAACCTAAATACTTCGCGGACATGTCCGCGCGGACGGCGACAAAAGGCCGTTACACGGCCGTGCCTACGCGAGAATTTATAAATGTGTATTTAAATAATGCGGAGAGGGACTGTTCGAACCGCTTGTCGTAACAGTTAGGAAAAACGAGGATTTTGCCATTATTATTACTATTAATTACAATTTTTAAAAGCCTCCATGAACTATAATAAATTATGCATCGTACATTTCTTCACGCTGTATTTATACGGAAGAATTTGCAATTATTATAGTGATAATTGTATTTTTGATAGGTACCCAGTTGAAAGTCGACGATAGTAGTCTTGTGACAAATCTTTCAACATAATATATTTTAAGCACTATCCCATACAGCACAGAAAGTTAAAATGATATTGCTGAAACGTTGCAATGTTGAATGTTGAAGTATAAATATCTTTTCTATGTTGAACTATGTTAATGTTTGTACATTAATTCTTTATATTGCTGTAACGTTAAAACAATCTTAAACAAATTATTATTTTTTGACACTCAAACAGATACTTAAAGAATGTATAATTATGAAATATATATATACATATACATATACAGGGTGTCCCAGACCACCCATATCAGCCAAATATCTTGAAATCCGAGAACGGCAGACAAAAGTTTCAGACAAAAGTTGTTTGGTTTCGAGGGGGCCATAAGATGGTACCATTGGTTTGACCTTGAAAAATTATTTGAAGGTCACATAAAGGTCACACCAATTTTTTTAAATGGCATCCCCTATTTTTTATTACATATTCTTATAGCTGACCACGAGAGCTTTCCAAAACGCTATAATAAAGTATTTTTTATTAAGAACTTTTTGAGTTATTAAGGTTTGAAAGTTCCAATATTTTGACATAAATTACAAAATATCTTGTAAAATATTCATTTTTTTATCATCTTACCTTAATATGTTTTAGAGTAAACAATGAGACAAATCAACCGGTGTAAAGAAAACAATTTTGTAACAAGTAATAAAAAATTTTTTTTAAACAATTGTGTTTTCTTTACACCGGTTGATTTGTCTCATTATTCTGTTCAAAAAGTATTAAAGTAAGATGATAAAAAAATGAACATTTTACAAGATATTTTGTAATTTATGTCAAAATATTGGAACTTTCAAACCTTAATAACTCAAAAAGTTCTTAATAAAAAGTACTTTATTATAGCGTTTTGGAAAGCTCTCGAGGTAAGCTATAAGAATATGTAATAAAAAATAGGGGTTCCCATTTATAAAAACCACTCTGACCTTCAAATAACCTTGAAAAGTAGTCTCAAGGTCAAAGCTAGTTACACAGATAGGTGACCCCCGTTATCTTGAACAACTTTTGTCTGAAACATTTTTGGGTAATTATGTAGAATAGGGCCTTTTCCGAATTTTGATATTTTCTTGCGGTTTTCTTGGTAAAAACCTTTGTTGTGACTCTGACAGTGATAATCAATCGGGGGAGCCCGAAAAATATGCACCCCGAGTGACCTTCAGAAGGTTAACCCGGGTTAACTGTTCTGTAAAGCAGATAATTTTCCATCATTTGTAAGTCCATACGCACACAAAAATATTGTGCTTTACAGAAATATGCAACCCGATACAAAATGTGTCCGATCGGGCCTGTGTCCGATCGAGTC